GACAGGATCATGGTTAACCGAACAACTGTCGTTGTCGCTCACAGATTGAGCACAGTGAGAAATGCAGACATGATTGCTGTGATTCATCAAGGCAAGATGGTAGAGAAAGGTAAAATTTCAAACTCTTAAACACACATACCAATCCGGTACTGATCATGAATGTGTAATCAGGTTCTCACTGTGAGCTCCTAAGAGACCCCGAAGGAGCTTACTCTCAGCTCATACGTCTACAAGAAGAAAACAAAGATTCAACGGATGAGCAGAAGATATCAATGGAACGGTCTAGTTTGAGAAAGTCATCGCTAAGCCGGTCTTTAAGCAAAAGATCATCTTCTTTCTCTATGTTTGGTTTTCCAGCAGGAATAGACACAAACAACGAAGCCAAACCAGAGCAAGGTGAGGCTTCTACGTCGATCAAAGAAGAGGAAACCAAACCCAAGAAAGTCTCATTCTTTAGAGTCGCTGCGCTAAACAAACCAGAGATTCCAGTGCTTATACTAGGATCTATAGCCGCGGTCTTAAACGGAGTCATACTTCCGATTTTCGGGATTCTAATCTCTAGCGTGATCAAAGCTTTTTTCAAACCACCTGAGCAGTTAAAATCTGATACAAGGTTTTGGGCAATCATCTTCATGCTTCTCGGTGTAGCTTCAATGGTGGTCTTTCCGGCACAAACAATATTTTTCTCCATAGCTGGATGTAAGTTAGTGAAGCGGATAAGATCAATGTGTTTTGAGAAAGTGGTTCATATGGAAGTTGGATGGTTCGATGAGACTGAGAACTCAAGTGGTGCTATTGGAGCTAGACTCTCTGCTGATGCAGCTACGGTTCGTGGTCTAGTTGGAGACGCATTGGCTCAAACGGTTCAGAATCTTGCGTCTGTAACAGCAGGTCTGGTCATCGCGTTTGTTGCGAGCTGGCAGTTAGCTTTTATCGTTCTTGCGATGCTTCCGCTTATCGGTCTTAATGGTTATATATACATGAAGTTCATGGTTGGCTTCAGTGCAGATGCAAAGGTACAAAACTTAACACTCTTTGATGTTTGATACTTGTAGAGTTAATTACACTATGAAGTTATCTCTGTTTTTCTGATGAATTGGAGAAACTGTTGGCAGAGAATGTACGAGGAAGCGAGTCAAGTAGCGAATGATGCGGTCGGGAGCATAAGAACAGTTGCTTCATTCTGTGCAGAAGAGAAAGTGATGAAAATGTATAAGAAGAAATGTGAAGGTCCTATGAAAACAGGAATACGTCAAGGCATTGTTAGTGGTATTGGTTTTGGAGTTTCTTTCTTCGTCCTCTTCGCTTCTTACGCCGCCAGTTTCTATGCCGGTGCAAGGCTTGTCGATGACGGCAAAACAACTTTCGATTCTGTTTTCAGGGTAAGAAACCAGAAAATCAAGATTCACCATTTTTGTCCACTCCTTAAAGCCTGATTTGTTTTGTTGTTTGGAAACAGGTTTTCTTTGCTTTGACAATGGCGGCTGTTGCTATTTCTCAGTCGAGTTCGTTGTCTCCTGATTCCAGCAAAGCTAGCAATGCGGCTGCATCGATATTTGCGGTTATAGACAGAGAATCAAAGATTGATCCAAGTGATGAGTCTGGGAGAGTTCTTGATAATGTCAAAGGAGATATTGAACTTCGTCATATCAGTTTCAAATATCCTTCAAGACCAGATGTTCAGATCTTCCAAGATCTTTGTCTGTCTATTCGCGCCGGAAAGGTTAGACCTCGATCTTGAAAGACTGTTTCGGCTTAGTACGGATCAAACATATCTTGAATTCTGTTCTTTTGTTTCTCTCTGCTTCAGACAATAGCTTTGGTAGGAGAAAGCGGAAGCGGAAAATCAACTGTGATTGCATTGCTGCAGAGGTTTTATGATCCTGATTCGGGTCAGATCACTCTTGACGGAGTTGAGATCAAGACCTTGCAGCTGAAATGGCTAAGGCAGCAAACCGGTCTTGTGAGCCAAGAACCGGTTTTGTTCAATGAAACGATCAGAGCAAACATTGCTTACGGAAAAGGAGGAGATGCTAGTGAAACCAAAATTGTATCTGCGGCCGAGCTATCTAACGCTCATGGCTTCATCAGTGGCCTCCAACAGGTAATAGAAAGAAATCATATCCATCCCTAATTTCCAAATCCATGGATTCAGATTTAACTGAAAGATTTACTTGACATTGCAGGGCTATGAAACAATGGTGGGTGAACGAGGAGTTCAGTTATCAGGCGGGCAAAAGCAAAGAGTAGCCATAGCTAGAGCCATCGTTAAGGACCCTAAGGTGTTGCTACTTGATGAAGCAACAAGTGCGCTAGACGCTGAGTCAGAGCGTGTGGTCCAGGACGCGTTGGACCGGGTTATGGTTAATCGAACCACCGTGGTGGTGGCACATCGGTTATCAACAATCAAGAACGCTGATGTAATTGCAGTGGTTAAGAATGGAGTCATAGTGGAGAAAGGAAAGCATGAGACTTTGATCAATATCAAAGATGGTGTTTATGCGTCTTTAGTACAGCTTCATTTGAGTGCTTCTACATAACGTTTTTCATATAAATTACCATTTGTGAGTAATATACAGTGAAAATGACACCAAAAAGATTTCGTTTTTAGATTCATTGAGAATGTTGATAGATTCTTGTGTCAGTAATACAAAAATGTTAATCATCCTCTTCACTTTCATCACTATATGAGACTAAGCCTAAACCTGTTTGCAGAACTTCATTGGCTTTCGCAGAATCTAAAGAAGTCCGGTCGATTTGGCTAGCCGGTTTCCCATTCCCTGAGATTTCTTTCTTTTCCTCCTCGGTCGCTTTAGCCTTCTTTGGTTGTGACTTGACTTTAATGATGGTGTTAAATGGACGAGTCGCCGGATTTCTCTTCCCGGTTGGTTTCTGTTCCTGTAAAAGAGATCAAGACACATAAATACCCATGTAATTCAAATACTCAATCGGAAAGTTCAGCAGTTTTATCGAACAATCTAATTTGAAACACGAGATACTCACTT